TGCATTTCAGGACCTGGTGCCAGGCTCAGCAGGCTCGGGGCAGGATGCTCCAGCATGGGAGCAGGGCTCAGAGGCTGCTGGCTGGAAAACACATTTAAATAATGAATGAAAAGGAGAGGTTTGAGATGCCCTTTAAAGGAATAGTCAGGCAGGGGTGAGACCTGCTGAGTAATGTATAAAAAACAAGCTTCAGGCAGAGGAGAGATGTTAGGATTACTCAGAACCCAGAATAAACTGTGTTTCCTCCAACCAAAATTTTGGTGTCGGCCTTTTCCAAACAAACTCCAGCACCAGGTTGGCCTGGGCTCCTCTCCAGCACTGGGAGAGGCCCTGGGATGGTGCCCCAAGCCTTTGCCCACCCCTGTGCCCACCCTCTGTGGTGGGCAGAGCAGTGGGCAGCCAGCCTGGGTCACACCTTCCTGCCTCTGGCCACCTGGAGCTGGCACCTCTCTGCAGCCCTTGGTCTCCAAACTTCAGCCTCCAGGAGAGTCAGAATTCCAGCTAAGTGCAGGAATTCCAGCCAATTGTGGGAATTCCAGCTAATTGCAAGCATTCTAGTGGGAAACCTCAGTTCCCACCAGTCCACACCAAACACCCAGGGCTGAATCCAGCCCCCACATCCCCAAAATCTCCTCTGCTTGGGGTGGAAAGCTCTCTGCACCCCAAGAGACACTTCTCCATGTCCTACGCATTCCCATTGCCCAAAGCCAAGTTCCAAAATGCCTTGGATGCAATTCCCAACCTGCAGGAGCGAGACATGGGGAGGCCACCAGAGCTGGCACATCCTGGGAGGAAAAGTCACAGGGGGAGGTTGTGACAGGATCCTGAGAAGGAGAGGAGGATCCAAACCCTCACCAAGCAGGGGATGGGCAGGGATTTGCAGGAAGGAGCTGGTGGATCAGCTTTCCCAAATCCCACTGCACTTTCCCAAATGCTTTCAACAGCAGGATGTGGATCCTTCTTTGCAGATCTGGTGGGGGGAGAAACCACAGATCCTGGGGGGAAAAATATCCCTGTGGATCTGGGGGAGGGAGATGTGCACCCAGCCCCCAACCCTGGCATCCCTGCCCCGACCCCCACAATGCCCAGGAGTTCCAGAGCTGTGCCAGACAGGAATCCCAGGGATTGGAACCCTCTCAGTGGCCACCTCAGCCCTGTCCCCCTGTCCCCAGGCACAGCAGGGTCCCTGTGTGAGGGGGCTGGGGCCGTGCTGCCCCGGAGGACCCTCGGCGAGCAGGATAAGCGTTATTTTCTCAGCCCTTCCCTTTCCTTCCCTTGCCAAGCTCCGCCGGGAGCATCAGGTGCAGAGGCAAGGCCACCATCCGACAGCATTTCCTACCCGGTTAACCCCTGCAGGGCAGGGCTGGAGGGGCAGGAAAACCGGGAAAGGTGACAAGGTGGGACCTGTCACTGCCGGCGGCTCCAGCAGCGCTGGCTCTGGTTCACCTGCTTTTATTAACCTGCTGCTACTTAAGTTCTATTCCTTGTTCTGTCCTTCACAAGCACTGTTTCCCAAAATTCTGGACATCCTAGAATGTGCAGCTGTTCCTCCATCACAAACTTGGGTGGGTTTAATGCTCAAACAAACCCCGGGAGAAAGCCAAAGCCGTTCTTCAAAGTGCTCCTTACACATCTCCTGCTAATTGCCAGCAATCAGAGCACGCCAGCATCTCCCCGAGCTCCCTCTTATCACTTCCAGGATCAAATGCACATGAAAACCACTTCAAAAAAAATAAAAAAAAATTAGTTTGAGCATGGAAACCCCTTGCAGCAAAGCTGGTTTTGTTCTGAACTGTTGGGAAATGTCAGTGTTTTCCCTCGCCTGCCAAAGAGGCGGCTTTGATGCCATGGGAGGCTTTATCAGGAGCAGGAAAGGAAGGGGCTGCAGCAGCAGTGCCGCGGGGGGAGGCTCAGGGAGGTTATTTTATCCTTCCCCTCTGCAGATTGTCGGCCCAGAATATCAAGAATCAGACCTGAGCTCCCCAAATCAGCGCCTCGGGGTGATGACAGGCGGCTGCTGCCTGCCAGGGTGCCCTGGCTGGGGTGCCAGCCCCTTGTTTGTGCAGGGCTGGCAGTGAAAGGTTTCCAGCCCCATTGTCTTGTTGCTGCTCTGGGACAGTGACATTTAATAGATATTTTACTGGATGGAGAGTTGTGTCATTCGTTTTTAAAGCTCCTGATATGCAGGAGGAGATGTGTTCCTCAGGAGGGAGTTTGAGCCGTGCCAGGCTAGATAATAGGGAAGGGTTATGGGGTTAGGACACAAGTCTGGGATGCCAGAAACCACTTCAAGCCTCCACTCTGCTCCACTGTTATCTCCCGTCCCCAGCAAGTGATTTGGCTACTGAACAACAGGCAGAGCTTGGGTCTGGCCCAGTGTTCTCCTCTGAAAAGGCTTCCCACTGCTTGGGATGAGACAACTTCTTCAAAACCTTAAACAAAGTTTTCCTGGGCAGGGATAGGAACCTCCTGCAGGCCCGTGGGAGCTCGGGCGCTGCTCCACAGCAAAGGGCACGGCAGGCTCAGCACGTTAGCACAGGAAAAGAGCATTTCCAGGTCAAGAGAGGGAAAGAGGCAGGTTTTCCAGGCACTGCAGGCAGATGGGACAGTGCCCAGGGCTCCTGGCTGGGGGGACACAAACCCAGAGTGGCCTTCCCCTGTCCAGCAGCCCCTCTGTGCCCCTGCAGAGCTGCCAGGAGCCTTCACACGGACCCAGGGCTTCCCTGCAAAGGGAAAAATCCAGAGGGGCGAACAACTCCAGCACTCCATCAGCATCCCCAGGGCCGCCTCCCACCTTGTTTTACCCAGCCCAGGGGGGCTCAGCCCCCTCCCCAGCACCCCGGGCTGGGAACAGGCGGTGGCTGAGTTTGCAGCGGAAGGAATGGCTGCAATGCGAGGAGAGCTCGGCACATGCCCGGCGCTAACAGCTGGCCCAGGCTGTGCTCCTCAGCACCCCAGAGCCCTTCCACCAGCAGGATTCCTGCTGCCAGCTCGCAGGAATGATCCCAGCTCCCTCCCACCCGTCCTGCAGCCTCCCCATTCCTGTGGGCGAGCTGGAGCCAAGTTTATCCCTGACACATCTCCACCGGCTTTGCTGGATTTAGAGCCCAGATAAGTTTGGGGCAGGACCTAAATTCTGGTGGCTCAAAAGGTCAGGGAAGAGACACTTAATGAGGGGGGAGAGGCCATGTGTGAGTACAGGCGTGTCTGAGTAAGGGATCGGCTCCCAAATCACACACTGGGAACTGGGCTCTCCATCAGCACAACCCAAAACAACTCTGCCAAGAGCCCACAGCACCATTCACCCAGCCAGCACTGGTGGGGAGCTGGGCCACGCACTGGGCACTGAGAACGAGGAAAAACTGGCAGATGATAAAACCAGGATACAGCAGGGCCTGAGCAGAGCTCCAGGTGAAGAAAGGAACTGCCAGAGATCAGCCAGAGACTGGGAATGGGCACAGAGCTCCTGCCTAAGCCTTCCACTGGGGAAGGGAACATTCCCTCCACAAGTCACAGCCCCCAGAAGGATCCAGCAGCTCTGGCTGATGGGCAGGAGGGGCTGGGGGAGGTTTACATTAGCAAAGAACCATCCAGGTGCCAACAGCAATTCATCACAGGCAGGCGCTGCTGTGGCTGCCATGGCAGGCACCAGCGAGGGGGATCAAACAGCTCTTCCCTGGCAGGAAGAGGCCAAACCATGCTCAGACACAGCTTCCTCAGCTGGGTATCCCCTCCTTCCCTGCCATGAAGTCCTGGGTTTGATTTTTGGGGTGGGCTGAGGTGCAAAGAGGGAATTTCCCATCAGCTCACACAGCAGGAGAATGCGGGAGCCCAGGCGCTCTGCTCCCCCTGTCCCAGCAGTGATGTCCTCTGAAGGACAGCCCTGGCATCAAGTGTCACTTGACAAAGCTCCCCCTCCTGCCACAGCTCCCTCCTTCAGAGCTGGCAAAGCCACCGTGGCCGGACACAGCCCCCGGGGACGGCTGTCCCTGTCACCGTCCCTGTCCCCTCCCGGCCACTGGCACCGCTCCCCAAGCACTGACACCGTGCCTGTGTTTCCAGCAGTCCCAAACTCCTCTGAGCTGTTTCCACTGCGGAAACGCCACCCCATCCTTTTACATCGGCCAGGGGAACTCTTGACCCCTGGGTCTGTGTGGTGCTGACCCAGGGCTGCAGACACAGCACTCCTGAGGACTTCGGCGTGGTCCAGCCCGTGCGGCCAGAGAGGCCCCTGGCCACTCTCTTATCGCTTTTGGCCGGTGTTTCTGTAGCAGCTCCAAGGACAGGTCAAGGGCCAGGACCCCCGTGCTCCATCATGTCACCACCTGCTCCTCCCGTGCAGCCCCAGGCTGCAATCAGCAGCAGCAGCAGCAAGAAGCGATCCCCCTGCAAACCTCCCTCTGCTCCCTCCAGGGACCTGGCAGCCCCAGCAGAAAGCCAGGACCTTCTCTGCAGAGCTGGCCCAGAGCCCCGGCAGGTTTCTACAGATCCCAGATGAAAGGCCAGGAGCTCCGGGAGCCCGGTGCCACAGGCGGGGATGGCACAGGTGTGGGGAGGCAGCTGCAGGGCGGGGATCGGCCCCTCCGCGGCTTCACCGCCGTCTCCCCAGCCAGGGAAACCCTCGGAGCCCGATCAGCTCCATCACGGAGCGTCACCTCCCTTTCCACCACCACAATTTCCCCTAACAAGTGCTTACACCCCACAACCTCCCTTGCAGGCTCCCGGTGTTTTACGCGTCCGACCAGCAAAGAGAAACTGGTTCCAGTTCGTGCCCCGGCTGGAGAACTGGAGCAAAGACAGGCTGGGAGCAGGGTCCCGCATGGAGCCGCTGGGATTCACCCATGGGCTGCCACGGGATGCGCGACCCGCGATTCCCTGCGCCTGGCACGGGCATCCCGTGTGCCCTCCGCGTCCCGTCACATCCCATCCATCCCATCTAACCCATCCCGTCCATCCCAGCCCATCCATCCCGTCCCGTCCGGTCCATCCCGTGCCCTCACCGCTGAGCCTGTCCATGGTCCGGAGCCGCAGCAGCCGCGGCCGCCCCGGGAGCTGCGGGCGGGGAA